AAGGCGGTCGTGAACCGACACCGCCCGCCCGGCGCCCCACCCGACTCTTAAGGCCGGGCTAAAAATCCGAGTTGTAAATCCGACTAACCGATTTTCTAATCAAGATTATCACACTGCCTCCTGAGCTAGTTATTCGGTGCCACAATTGCTTATAATGAGTGAGATGACTTACTATCTCTACGTTTGATGACCAGCACACAGAAGTGGTGAATTTGAGTCGCCTGTGGGGGATGGGATTTACTTTCTTTCTTTTGTTTTTGTATGTCTTTTGCCTTTGTTTTGTTTTGTTTTTCCTACTCCCGTATATTATTATCCGTATGTCTCCTGGGGCTTTGTATCCCTTTCATCCCACGCTGGCCCAGACAGGGAGGGTCGAAACATCTCCCCGGCCACCTAAATGATGTAAATGGTATTAATGGAGGCGTAAAACATCAACAGGTATATTTAATGAACTTGTACAAAAGAATTGTTGCAATACAGTTTTTTACATCGAGCGTAAAATCAGTTGTCGTCATTTGAATATCATCACCCCCAGGTGAGAGAATTCGTGTGTGTTTTCATAGAAATGTAGGAGTGTGTGATGAGGTTGCTCAAAAATGGGAAAATGTTTGCCTGCGCTCACTGTGTATGTGTGTGTGTGTGTGTGTGTGTGTGTGTGTGTGTGTGTGTGTGTGTGTGTGTGGAAGGGTGGTAGGGTGGTAGGGTGAGGGAAAAGGCCGAGGGAGCCTTTAGCTGTAATTTATGTACATACTTGTTCCATTCTTTTCGATTTAGTGGAATAGTTCTTATTTCACTAGAGGTAACTAGAATAAAATACGATGTCAATGAGTAAAAATTATTTTAAACAAAAAAATTCAAGTTGACTCGTCTTTCATTTATGTCTTATACGGGTTCAAATTGGAACCTATATGTTTATTCGGTGCGTCGTGAATCGGATGCCTGCTCAGCCCACACGCAGTTGCCTTGGTGCAAAGCGTTTGCATGCCGAGTCAAAGCTCAATGTTTACCTTACTGACACGTAACACTTTGCTACAGAATCCCGGACTTCCAAGATATATAAGGCATTCCCATTTCTGCCATTCATTCTTTCTTTCTTTCTTTCTTTCATTCTGTCTTCCTTTCCCATATTTTGGGTCTTTTTTCATCTTCTTTTTGTAATGTGCATGCAGGGCACGTGGTTCATCCTTAATGAGTCTTAACTGCTGAGTCAAGGCTAAAATATAACCTATTTTTTCTTGTACACTTTATTTTCATTATTGTGTACTTGCATACCAGAGTTGCCCACGCTGTGATAATGCGGATGTTTGAGAAGTATCCATAGGTTAAAGTAAGTAACGTTGTCTGTTTATGCACTGAAGGACAAGGGGCCGGTGTATTTTCCACATGATAAACGGATACGCAGTTGCACTAATTCCCTCTCTCTCTCTCTCTCTCTCTCTCTCTCTCTCTCTCTCTCTCTCTCTCTC